TACGACTACTACGACTACTACTACTACTACTACTACTACTACTACTACTACTACTACTACTACTACTACTACTACTACTACTACTACTAATACTACTCGTTCGATTACCCATCTGAGAAGGTGGGAAACGGGAGGCAAGACAGCAGAGGTTGAGGACTTTGGAAAAACAATCCGCTGGCCCCCTGGCCCGAAGGCCAGCCTGATAGGGTATGCCGACCCTGGCGGGCCCTAATGACAGCCCGTCCGCTACATCCGCTGGCTCCCGCCCCCCTCAAGGCCTCGTAGCGAAAGGGAGGTTATTACGTACACTTGATGGTGGCATCTGACAACCTGGACCACGGCGAAGGGATCCATCTTCCCGAAAATGTCGAAGGTGCGATTGAGCTCGGCGGAACAAACTCTCACAGACAGCAGCTGCTGGCCCTGCGCCGCCCTTGGCGTGAGGCTGGGCGACTTTTGCGACCTTGGAGACCCCAGCTCAGGTTGGCTCACCGTGCAGCCCATTGCGACCGCGGTTTGCGCGCCTCGCAGTGCTGGCCCAGTGGCCGCGGAGCGCTCTAAGCAGGACGAGCCTTGAGCCACAATGGCTGCGGAACTGCTACTCCTGATCTTTCCTCTTCTGCTCCTTTCCTGGCGGAGATCACGATCGGCCCCATAGTGCAACCTCTGCTGCCTGTGCCAGAGGTCGCGCCGACGGGTAGACCTGCCTGTTCGCTAGTCAGCTGCGACACCTGATCAGGGCAGACTGATGAAGCCTGGCGGAAGAGAAAGAGAGGAGAGTGGAAGCTGCAGAAGAGGAAGCCGCACCACCACCGCGGGTGGTTAACGGCGTGGCGATCGGAAATGGGGACCTGCCAGCGATCAAGGAGGACCGTGCAGGGCACCTCTCCAGCAATTGGAGAAGGGGAAAGCAGAGACGGAGGACAGGAAGCGGGAAAAGATGCGGAAGAGAAGGAGGAGGAGGTCAGGTCAGGTCAGGCAGCCCTTGAAAGTCTCTCGAGGAAAAGACAATCAGGGGGGAAGCACATAGAGCTCCAGCCCATGAGGAGGAGGAGCAGGAGAAGGGATGAGAAGGAGGAGGAGGAGAAGGCACACGGCGCGTCGTGCACTTCGGCGAGGCAGGCGCTGGACGGCAGTCTCCCCACAGGAGGCGCGCCTCCCCGGGAGCTCTGCCTGCCGCCGCCCCCGTGCCCAGGTCTACACGTGTGCCCTCTCCCCCGCCTCCCCCGCCTCCTCCTCCTCCTCCTCCTCCTCCTCCTCCTTCTCCTCCTCCTCCTCCTCCTCCTCTCCTCCCTCCTCCTCCTCCTCCTCCTCCTCCTCCTCCTCCTCCTCCACCTCCACCTCCTCCTCCTCCTCCCCCTCCCCCCTCCCCCTCCCCCTCCCCTCCCCCTCCCACTCCCCCCTCCCCCTCCCCCTGCCCCCTCCCCCTCCCCCCCCTCCCCCTCCTCCTCCTCCTCCTCCCTCCTCCTCCTCCTCCTCCTCCCTCCCCTCTCCTCATCATCATCATCATCATCATCATCATCATCATCATCATCATCATCATCATCATCATCATCCATCATCATCATCATCATCATCATCATCATCATCATCATCATCATCATCCTTCCCTCCTCCTCCTCCTCCTCCTCCTCCTCCTCCACCTCCTCCTCCTCCACCTCCTCCCTCCTCCCCCTCCTCATCCTCCTCCTCCTCCTCCTCCTCCTCCTCCTCCTCCTCCTCCTCCCCCCCCCGTCCAGCTCTCGCGTTGCCGGGGAGACGATTACTGAGGAGATGGCCGCACGAGGGCTGCAGCCGCCCGGTCGACAAAGGCGGCCGCAGGTCGAGGTCGAGCAGGATTTGGCACGTTCCCCCCTCGCCCGTCCTGCCCTCCTGGATCCCCCTCTGCCCCTACCCCTGGCCCGCCCTCCTCCCCGCTCTCCTCTCCTGCCTGGAAATCAGTCGGGCGTGTCCCCCTATTAATGAAAAATAGCCAAACTAATACGCAACAAATGCTCGAAATTACCCTGGCGAAGAACCATATGTAATTGTGAGAAACGCGATGTGGGTGCCGCTTCCGGTGGGCCACGCAACGCGTGATGGGGCGTGCGGTAGTAGGTGGGGGGGACGCATGCAGGTGGTCCCACTGGGACCTTCGGTGGAGCTCCCTGTGGGGCCACGACGCGCTGTAGTGGGTTGTGGAGACCCATGCGGGCGGTGCCATTGGGCCTTCGGTGGAGCCCCCATATGGGGCCACAAAACGCTGTACTGGGTGGGGGGGACGCATGCGGGCGGTCCCACTAGGACCTTCGCCGGAGCTCCCTATGGGGCCACGAAGCGCTGTACTGGGTGTGGCGGACGCATGCGGGCACCCCCACTGGGGCTTTCGGTGGAGCCCCCGATGGGGCCACGAAGCGCTGTACTGGGTGTGGCGGACGCATGCGGGCACCCCCACTGGGGCCTTCGGTGGAGCTCCCTATGGGGCCAGGAGACGCTGTACTGGGTGGGGGGGACGCATGCGGGCAACCCCACTGGGGCCTTCGCTGGAGCTGCAGATGGGGCCCCGAAGCGCTGTGCTGGGTGTGGCGGACGCATGCGGGCAACCCCACTGGGGCCTTCGGTGGAGCTCCCTACGGGGCCACGAAGCGCTGTACTGGGTGTGGCGGACGCATGCGGGCACCCCCACTGGGGCCTTCGGTGGAGCTCCCTATGGGGCCAGGAGACGCTGTACTGGGTGGGGGGGACGCATGCTGGCGGTCCCACTAGGACCTTCGCTGGAGCTGCAGATGGGCCACGAAACGCTGTGCTGGGTGTGGCGGACGCATGCGGGCAACCGCACTGGACCCTTTGGTGGAGCCCCCTGTGGGGCCGCGAAACGCTGTACTTGATGGGGGAAACGCAGGGAGGAGGGAGGAGGGGGAGGAGGGGGGGGGAAGGAGAGCGGAGAGAGGAGGAACGCGGGGACCGTCCGTTTCAAAACGAGGAGCCAACACCACAGGGTGCTTGAGAAATGTCCCCCAAAAAATCCTCACCTGACTACTCCAGATTTCGTAATAAAGGGAGGGGGGTCTCAGTTCGGGGGGGGTCTTTTCCAAGCTATCTTGGAGGGCCTGGGGGGGTCTGGGGACGACGTTTCGGAGGGTTCTCCCAGGGGGGGGGGGTCTAAAACTTCTCCTCTGGGAGGGTTGAGACCCCCTCCCTTTTATTACGAAATCTGGAGTATGCTTCCAATATGTTTGAAGGTTCCTCCTGTGGAGGGACACGCCCGACGTACGCCTGGAGGCACAAAACGAGTACGAGCATGGACTTCTCGGAGGTCCGAACGCGGGACTTCTCGGCTCGGCGCCGGGCCTCCCCCCTGGCGGCGCCGCCTTGGGGGGGGGGGGGGGGGGGCAGCGCCGGGTCCGAGGCACTCCGCGCGGGCCTGCGAGAGGTCCGTGCTCCTGCTGTTTTGGTGGCTGCTCTCCGACTGCCCTCCCCTCGGAGAGGACAGCGGGGATCGACCTGAGCAGTGTCTTGCTCGTCTCCGTCTTGTTTTCGTTGTCCCTCTGTTTCTGTTTCTCTCTCTCTCTCTCTGTCTCCGACCCACCCTCTGTCTCTCTTGTTTTCGTTGTCCCTCTGTTTTTGTTTCTCTCTCTCTCTCTCTCTCTCTGTCTCCGACCCACCCTCGCCGCAAAACGGCATCAAAGCGAAGACGGCCCACGAACACGCAAACTGCCCCTCCCCTCGGAGGACAAGAGGAGCGGCGGCGGTGGGAGCAGCGGCAGGTGGAGAGGAAGAAACCGGTGACCTCGACCAAACGACCAAGATCGGCACCGACGAGATCCGGCAAGAACCCGCGACATCTTGGCGCTGGTCCCCTTACTTATTCCCTTGATCTTTGCTGCTCTTCGACTGCCCTCCCTCGGAAGCTGGGCGAAGGCTGGCAAATCCGTGGCTGCTACAGCGGTTTTCCCGGACGGAACAACAAGTTCCCGGAATAAAGCTCAGCGCATTAAACACAAGACGGGCTGCTTCCCAGAAGACTAAAATCATTTCCTGGAGCTCCGTTCTAGCAGCCACGGGTTTGCCAGCCTTCGCCTGGCCTCCGACTCTCCTCGGAGGAGGAGGAGGAGGGGAGGAGGGGGAAGAGGGGAGTAAGGGGAGTGGGAGGGGAGGAGGAGGACAAACCGGGGCACAGGGGATCTGTCATCTCCAGGCGGCCGTCGAGCGGCGGCGGCGGGAGCAGCGGCAGGGCCTGCCGCGCGTGGCGGGCGGGCGGCCGAGGGCCGCACCCCGTCGTGCTCCTCCCGCCCGCAGCGCGGGCACCGCAGCCTGGCGCCTGCGGCGCCGACGCCCGGCACCCCCACGGCGTCCTCAGCCCCCCTCCTCCTCCTCCTCCTCCTCCACCTCCTCCTCCTCCTCCCTCCTCCTCTCCTCCTCCTCCTCCTCCCTCCTCCTCCTCCTCCTCCTCCTCCTCCTCCTCCTCCTCCTCCTCCTCCTCCTCCTCCTCCTCTCTCCTCCTCCTCCTCCTCCTCCTCCTCCTCCTCCTCCTCCTCTCTCCTCCCTCCTCCTCCTCCTCTCCTCCTCCTCCTCCTCCTCCTCCTCCTCCTCCTCCTCCCACCTCCTCCTCCTCGCTCCTCCTCCTCCTCCTCCTCCTCCTCCTCCTCCTCCTCCTCCTCCTCCCTCCTCCTCCTCCTCCTCCTCCTCCTCTCCTCCTCCTCCTCCTCCTCCTCCTCCTCCTTCCTCCTCCTCTCTCCTCCTCCTCCTCCTCCTCCTCCTCCTCCTCCTCCTCCTTCGCGGCCTGCGGCCACGCGCCGGGCGAGCGCCTCGTCCTCCCGCACCATGTCTGCCTCGCCGCCGCGCGGGGCGGCCGGGCGAAGTCTCACGAGCGAGGAGGCCTTCACGCTCGATGCTTAGGCTGGGCAAGTAGAGGTCTTTCAGATGGCGGGGTCGGAGGATCGCGCCGCATCGCCGGTGCATCGCCCCCGCATCGCCGATGCATCGGCGACGTCGGCGGTGCATCGGCGCTTTCGGCGCGGAGAAAATCGGGCTTCACATCGAGTCGCATCGGCGAAGCATCGGCGATGCGACACGATCCTCCGACCCCATCTACTCGGACCCCCTCCAGGGGGCTCAAGTAAAATGCTTGGGGTGGGGTTGGGGTATCCCACTGGGGGGGACCCTGACCATACCTAAGAAACCCCATCCTCCTCAGCCTGGGCGACGCTTCCCGCCCCCTGGAAGATGGTTGCATTCCGCTCGCAGGCCTCTACCATAAACGAACGATCGCGGCGGCCAATGTTCCCCAAGCTCTTTCACAAGTAAATTGAACCTCCCAACTTCCCCAGCCGCTGGGGCGCAACGACAGGGTGGGGGCCCGCCAGAGCACGCAACCTCAGCCCCTCCATGGTCCTGGCACGCACACCGCCCAGAAACATCCACGCCCCCCGTCCGCCGAGCCCCGACAGCGGGCCCTCGGGCGGAGACGGGCACGGGCCCAGCCCAGCTCCCCGAAGGGTGGGCAGTGGCCCATACTCACCGCGCGCTTCGAGGCCCCGCGGCGAAGACCTGCGGTGGCGGCTTCGACCTATGCAGGCGGCAGATGGGGAACAGGGGAGGCAGTTGCGCACTTCTTCCGTGGGAGGGAGGCGGTTGCGCACTTCTCCCGTGGCAAGGTCTAGGGGAGGTGCCATGAGCCTAACACAGAGCGAGGCACCCTCTCAGGTGTTCGGGCCCTCGAAGAACGCAGGCCGGCTCGCTCTCCAAAGGTGGCACAAGGGCCGCCTGCCATCCGTTGCGTTGGCCGCTACACGCTAACAACTCCCGCCGCGCCTTGCCCGGCACGCACGGCGCGGGCTTCCCCCGTCGGGGGGCGCGCGCCGCAGTTGCGCGGGCCCGAGGACAGATATGGGGGGCAGGGGGCGAGGGGGGACAGACGCCCTCGCACCGCTTGCTAGCGCGCCTCCAGGATGCTCGTCGCGCCAGACGCCGGCGCGCCCCCTGCCCCGCGCGGCCGCGCCCGCTAGCGGCTAGCGGCGCAGACCGGCGGGCCGCTACAGCGCGGCGGGGGGCGCGCGCGCGCGCGCCCAGGCCGACCTCCGCGGCGGGGCGGAGCGGACAGCTCCTTCACGCCGTCAACTGGAGCCGCGTAAAGCCAACGACGACGTCGTTCGCGCCCCGCCTCGCGGCCCCAGGGGCGGGCGCGCCCTGCAATCGCTCGACGGTCGCGGCGCCATGGCCGCCCACTCCCCCGACGATGAAGGCCGCGTTGTACCGCGCGGCCCCCGGCGGGGCACGCGGCGGGGAGCGCTGGCGCAGGCTGCGGCGGCGGCGCCACGGGAGCCGGCGCGCGGCCACGCTGCGACGCACAGGAGACGCGGCAGCTCGGGGCGACGCGGCCTCGCGGCTGCCACGACTGCGGAGCCAGCCGAGCGCCACCTGCTGGCCGTCCGCGCCGAACGCCGTGGACCCCAGCAGCGCGGCAGGGGGGGCGCCAGCGCCCACGGACCCCAGGCAGCGCCGCGAAGGCCTGGCGGCGCCGGTCGTCGCGCGCCCAATCCTCCTCGGCGGCCGCCACGGCCGCTGCCCAGCCCAGGCCGCAGCGCCCAGGCCCCACGCGGCAGGGAAGCGCGGCTCTGCCGCGCTATGGCTGCATCGCCGAGTCAGGGCCGCTGCTCCGCGGCTGCATTGCCAGCTCTGCAGGCCCGGAGAAAGCGCCCGCAGGGTGGCTCTCGGACGCGACCAATTCGATCCACAGCTAGACGAAGAGGACCCGCACCAGGAGCCAGACCGCCCCGACGATCTACTTGCTGCGGTCGCCATTGGCCCCGCCACTGAGGACGTCCCCCAGCGCGGGAGCGTCGTCCTCGAATAGGACAACCAGGCCCCGCGGAGCTCCCCGGGGCAGGCGGGCAGAGCAGGACCAGCGCAGCGAGCAGCTCGGACTGGGCGTCGCGCCGAGAAGCTGCGGCTGCCGCATCGCGAAGACAGCAGCATACCCCCGACGCCCCCAGCGCCGACGCCCACGGCCCACGGTTCGTCGACCCGCCCGACGACGGCGGTCCGCCAGTCGCCGTGCACGCGCCCGCAGCACATCGGGCAGCACGCCCGCGCCCTCCACCTCGACAGCGCGTCGGCGAGGCGCTCGGACTAGCTGCCTCGGCGCGCGGTCACGTCGTAGGCGCGCGCTCGGCCTATGCGGCCGATCACTGTCGCGGCGGCGGCGCACGTCTGCCCTCCGAGTCGGGCCGCGATTCGTTTGCCGAGGCGGCGCGCGCGCAGCGCGGTGTCCACGTCCGCGGCCAGGTCGTCGCGCCGCTCGGCGGCGCGGCGCCATCCCGCCCAGCGCCCGATGGCGACAACGTCCAGCCCGAGCACGTCCAGCACGGCCGCCAGCCCCCGGATGTCGCCGCCGCTCGGCAGAACGCCGAGCACGCCGCGCAGCCCCTGGCCACTCGCGAAGGGCGGAGCACCTGGCCGGGGAGGCGCGGTGGAAGTCGCCCACGCACGCGTCCTGCGGCACGCAGAGGACGCGGCGGGGCGGGCGGGCCACGTCGGCGGCGACGCGCGCGCACCCGAAGGCGCAGAAGCCGCTAGCCGGCCCGTCAGCGCCGCGCCAGACCGGGCATGCCCAGAGGGGAAGACCCGCGGCACGACGCGGCAGGGAGCGAAACAAACAGAGCGCGCTCGATTGGAATTCGCGGGGCGGCGCACAGCGCGAACAGCCCTTTGCCCCTCTGGCCTGGCCGACGGCGAGCAGACCGCCCGCGAGCGCAAGCGGCCAGCCAGCCGCCTTAAGAGGAGGCGGGAAGGCGGCATGCCGCGCCGCGGTCTGGAGTTGACAATTGGAAGGCCTCGCGCTCTGCCCCCGCCGCCCCCAGGCGCCGCCCCAACGAAGCGCGCGACAAGAAATGGGCCGGCGGGGGCTCTGGCGCGGCCATCCCTGTCAACCTGCACTCACCAGGAAGGCAATGGGAAAATGCCTCCCCTCTTGGCTGCGCGGACGCAAGGAGCTGTCTTCCTGCGCGGCGCCCCTGAGCCACCCAAGCCTGACTGACGACCGGCAGCTGATTCGCTGCCAGCCAAGGAGGGCGGCTAACCAGCTGCCGCGCAAACGCGGCACCGGCTACGAGGGGCCCAGGAGGCGTCGGCACACGGCGGGGTCGCGCCATTCCACGCCTGGCCACGACTTTCTATCATTCTCCCCGTGTTTTCATCATCCCGCTCAATGGTTTCTCGCGCGACGCCCGCCGCCCCGCCGGGCTGGCTCCGCCAGGCGGCCGGAGCGCTTGGCCCCGCCCCAGGAGCGGCGACGCCGGGCCTCGCGCGCATCTCCACGACCAATGGCCATTCTCACCCTGCATACTTTGCAGGCGATGAGGTCGCCGCAGAGGGGGCATTCCTGCGCCCGAGCGGCGCTCTGCAGGGCGTTGTCGCACATGGTTACCACGACGCCGCTGGGCGACTGAACCACGATCGCCACATGGGCGCATCGAAGCCTGCGGCGCCTGGCCCGATGGTTCACGAGAAACCCGCGCTTCGTTTCCCTGGCGACATCCGCGGATGGGCCCTCGCCGATGGGGCCCCGCCCTCGGGCGCGGCGCGGGCCCTGGGCCGGCGGGGCCGTCACCCGCCTCGGCGGCCGCGGCCCCTGCTTCCCAGCGGACTCGGCACTGCCGCGGAAAGGTTTCCGGCGCGCCATCGCCGGCGGCGGCGGCCGGGCCCCATGCGGCGCCTGGGCGCGCTGCCAGCTGCGAGGATGAGGGCTGCCGCGGCGCGGGGCTCCACTGAAATCCCAGCGGCGCAGCAGGGAGGAACTTCCCTGCTGCGAAATCGACAAGCAGCGAGGCGAGGTTGCGGATTGGCGCGGAGAGCTCCGAAATCATGCACGCTCGACCATACTTGCCCACCCCCGCGCTGCGTCGGTGACCGAGCATCGCGAGGTCCGCCTCCGAGAAATTCCCCGACGCGCCACCCATGACGCGAGCGCGGCCTTCCTGCAAAAATGGGGCGCGATGCCCGCCGCCTGGTCGCGCGGAATACCAGAGGACGATTCGGATCTGCGTGAGTTCCGTGGCCCCTGGGGAGGCCAGCCCGGCGCGGGCGGGAGGCCCGCGAGGTCGGCACGGCGCATCCCTGATCCGCAACGGCGAGCCCGGCGCTGTTCTCCAGGTAGCCTCGCGCCAACCTCGAAGGCTCAGGGCAGAAGCGGCGCGGACCGCGGCATATCTGGGCCGAGGCGCGCGCTCGCGGCCTCCGCGGCTTCGGTTGCGCGCGCGACTCCGTAGCAGAAGCCGCGCTCGCCACCCGCGGTGCGCCAAGTGCCCCGTTTGCCCCAAATGCTGTCGTCGTTGCGCAAGGACACGTGCACTTTCCTGAACTCGTTCCGCGCGGTGTTCCGCGACAGCGCAGATGGGACCGTTCTGATGGTGCAGTCCAGGGTGTGGATCTGCTCCACCGTGCGCGCGCGGGTTCTGCGCCCCGCCGTCGCGGTTTCCCGGTGGTGGGCGGCTGCCGCCGTGCCGACGGCGACGCGCGCCGTGGGTAGCCGGTCGCTGATCTGGGTAAGCCTGTCCAGAAACGCAAGCAAAGCCAGGCGTGCCTTCGGCGCCGTCGCGTCGACATCCGCGCCAATGAGATCGTCGACGCAGCTAATCGATCAGGCGCAAGGCCAACTGCACGCGGTTCGGGAACGCCGCGAATGGCGAGCCCTCGCGTTTCCCGTGCCACGCGGCGACTGCCATGGCGTTGGTCGCGTGCCGCTGCAGCGTGGTGTGGCTCCACCATCGGGGCACCCGCTGCAGGTGACTCGGCACGCCTGTCTCTGGAATTGACCCCCCAACGCCTCATA